GTTTCTTCAGCTCAACTTCAGCATATGCAGAGATGGGGACGGCTATCACAAAGAGAATGAGAGATGCGATGGTAGTTGGTATTGTCTTCCCTAATTTGGAACTTGAGGACCTAAAAAGATTCCATCATCCTGTAATGATTTGATTAGTTCTATAATATGCAATAAGTATAGAAAGTGGGTGAAGTTAGGGACAACTATTTGTAAGAAGCTAGATAGATAAGGTAGATCTCCAGTGGACTTGCTTTGAAATCTGTATTTCTTTAAATTGTTTTTTTATTTTTTTTTTTTAAATGTTCTGTTCTGTTTTGATATGGTTAACCTTATCCTCTTAGAGATGTAAAACAAATAGGTGGGACTGATAATCATATTACAGAGCTTTTGTTCGGCCATAGAGCAGAATGGTTTGTAGGGTCATTTTTTTTTGAATGTCATTCTATATACTTTAATTCTATAACCTGAACAGCCATTTCGAAGATGACAATTTGTAACTTATCAACTGGCAATTTCTTACCTTTTGTTTGTCTGTAATTTAGAATTATTTCTACCCTTTTTTTTTTAATTTCCATGTATTTTTTTTCGTTTCCTTTTCTTTAAATTAAAAAAAAAAAAACAATCATTAAGAAATCAAGCAATAACAAATGCTGGCATGCCTGTAATGAAAAAGGAGTCCTCCTCCATTGTTGGAGTAATTTAATGCCCTCCTGTAATGTTGGAGGAATGTAAACTAGTACAATCATGGAAATCAGTATGAAGATTTCTCAAAGAACTAAAATTTTAAATTCCACATGACCAGCTATTCGCCTGCTAGGTGCCTTCCCCAAAGAATTTAAGACATCATACCATTGTGATGCATACTAATGTTTATATCTGCACACTTTGTAGTTGCTAAATCCCCAAAACAGCCTGTATCAGCAGGCAAGTACATAAAATACAGTGTCGATATGTAGTGGAATGTACTCAACTATAAACAATGACAAATTTACAACTCCTACAGGACACCTGGAAAATCCAATATTGAGTGAAATGAACCAGACTCATGAGCTTAAATACTCTATGGGATCTCTCATTTGAGTGAGGCAGAGCCCAAAGAGAGTAACAAAGGGTAGATAAAAGGGGACAAAGGGATGGATCTCTTTCAATAGGGAAGTGGTCCAGGGGGAAAAAACGGGAGGAAGAAGGGAAGGGGGGAAATAAATAGAATGAAGATATGTAGAACAGAACAATTTCACATCTAAAGCATCTCAATTTCTGCTTAAAGCCTCTTTCTTTTCCTATGTCTAGGTGAATTCTATTCGTTTGAGACCCAGCTCAAATATCATTTCTTCAGTGAAGCCTAATACAGATTAATTGCTTTTTTCCTTGTGCTCCTTGATTATTTGTTTATAATATTTCAAAATATAACAAAATATTATATGTTAGGATGACTCTCCATCTGGATTGTTATTCCATGAGGGCAGAGAACATGTCTTATTTACCATTACAGCTTTCAGATTTGGAGCATATATAACAATTTTAAGTTTTGAATTAATAAATGATAATCATATAATAACTAATATTGCCATATTAAGTGCGGATTTCTGTTTTATTCTTTAGTTAAGCAAAGTTGTCATCTCATCAGGAAAATTTCTTGGCCCATCTCTGCTCTCAGTATAGATTAGGTGTATCCATTGTTTTAAGTTCTGATTGTTATTGTCTTACATCAAAGCCTTTTAAACTAAGAAATACAGGACACATATATGAAGTGAGATGGAGATAACTGTCAGTTTTCACTTCCCATCCCTTAGTTTTCAGCATCTCTTAATTTGACTTCCAAGTTAAAAGGTGACATTTGACTTTCTTAGATTTGGTGAAGGATTATGTATTGGAAAATGCTGGGATTAAACTTGTTTTATGTTGCAGAAATCCAAATGTTAGAAAAAAAGACTATTTTCTTTTGATTTAGCAAATATATAACATTAAATAACTTAGGTTGGACTTGTTTATTTAATAGAATAATTTCAGGCTTCTAGTTCTCAGGGAAAAACTTACATTATATATACAGTTTTACCAATTTGTTACTGCCTCTAACAAATTCTTCTGTACTACCAAGTTATTTTTCAGTTGCTTATCTGCCAGTAACAAAAAAGATTATGACAAACATAATAAATTACATGTATTGTTAGTATCAATGATTATGCAGCTTAGTTTTGTTGACATAAATCTTTACTTATAAGAAATAATTGGATATGTATAAGTATATAGTCTTTTTTATTTTAGATTTGCTAATGTGCATTTAATCACCAAAGGACTGAAAATGTCTGGGCTTTTATTCTGTAATATTTCTAAGACTGTGTCCATTAAATGCCAACAAAAAGAAAGAAGTCTTGACAGAACAGGAGAAGTGACACAAACCTCATGATCAGGTTGACTTAAATATTGTTCCTGGCGTATATCCTAGTCCATGCTCTAGCTGTTTCTGGGGCTTGGGCTTCATGAGTCTTCATGGACTGTTCTATTAATGATTTGCTAATGGGTCATCTGGGTTAGATGCACTTAACAAAGCTTGGATCCATAGCAGAACTGTGAGGATCTGCAGTGCTTGTGACCATTTATCTTTTAAAATATCTAAACATATTCTGCTCAACTTTTTTACATTAGGATGATAAATTTGGGTCATGAAATGTACTTTAGGTGCTGCCATTCGGTATTCTGGCAGAAATAGTTCAAGTTTAAAAGTCCCTCCTTCAAAGAGGGGGAATCCTGAGGACTAGCTGAAAATAACTAACTTTGCTCTTATCAGGTTCTGCTTTAATCCCAGGACCTGACGCCAGCAGTCTCTGGGTTTCCTCATCTGGTTCTGCTTTAATCCCAGGAACCTGTTCTGCCAGCAGATGCTGGGTTTCCTTGATGATCTTGCAGGGCAGCCCACCCCCGAGTGTGGCCTCTAGTCACATCTCCAGCTCCACAGTTGTACAGTGTATGTTATGTACATATTAAAAATATGTTCATAATAAAGCTTAATCACAGTTGACAAACTGACTTGGAAAAAGACTACTGATTTGTCTAATGTTATATGAGAATTTTTCTTCTTACACACTTTTCCTAACACAGAGTAATAAAATTCTTTTTAAATATTTATATGTTGATGAGAAACAGCAGTTAGTTCATTTTTTAAAATTATAAATGATAAATACCAAGTTTATAAATTTTTATTTTTGATGGGTAATAAGGGATGTTTCTTGCTAGTATTTGTTCTGAGACAATCCTATTTTGAAAAGTAACTTAAAGCTTTGTCTTATCTACTTAGGAGACTGAAGTTGAAAAGTAAAATGTCATTCCTGATTTATTACATGACAGCCATGTGACTTGTTTCTTTTAACTTTCCTTATTCTCAATACTCTATACTTACTGAGTTATTGCTGATTTTTTATGTATACAGTGACCTTTGGTGTCATAATTTTTTTAACGTATTGTTGTTTGTTAAAGCTGCTTTAGTAGTATTGATGAAGAAGTAATTAAAGTTACAGAGCAAGTTAGGTTATGTGGTATGAACAAGATTCAGTTTAAGGAATTTGAGTACACCTATTCAATATGTGTTATTGCTAGTCAGCTAGTTTCCTTGGGCCACGATTTGTTATTCCCATTCTATTTAGCCATCATGTAATTAAATATTATTATGCATTAATATATCACATCCTGAAACAGTATACTAGATTAGCCCAATTCCTCAGTACTACTAGAAAACCAGTAAAGTTCTTAACCTACTTACAGTTGAATCAGTTACATTATTATCTCTTTATAACAGAAAAAGTATAATAGTGCATGGTACCTAGAAGACAGTGAGTGTAAGATTATTATATAGTTATTCTAATTTAGAGTCATAACTTACTATGGATATAGTCAAAGGAGGGAAATGTTTGATTGTGTTTTATACAAAGGGATTATATTTCAGGGAACTTTTAGCCAATAGGGAAGCAGGAACATACAAGGTCAGCATTTATCTCATATAAATTCTTATACAGTATGTTAATTGCTTTCTTTGACTACTCAATTTTGTTATTGTAGAAACAATATATATAAAACTTTTAGAGATTCTGGCATATTTTGTAAAGATAGAAGAATGATATTTTCCTTGACATTTTTTGTAATTAATTTTCGTATAATAGATGCAAATTTAGAAGTCAGAACTTAGACTAGCATTTAAAACTGCAAGATTAATATGATACTTCTTTTTCCAGTGATTTTAATCAGTTATTTCAAATTAATCAAGGGACTCACGGATAATTAAGCCAATTGTTAAGGGACTGATTTTCATAATTTTTTAAAGAACTAGATTTGTATCTCATTATATTAATAAGAATATTGTAGAGTAAGGAGACATTTGTGTATAACTGAGAAGAAACTCTAGATTCCTAGATTCCTTTACAGTTCGTTAGGTTTCCAAATTTCAACCTGCAATTATATATCATAAATTTTGCCCAAAATGTTTTTGTATTATTGTACATTTTCTTAAACTGATATATCTTAAACTGGTAGTAGATATATCACAAACAATAAATTCTTTTCTATTGAAGAAGTAATGTTTTTTTTTGTTGTTTTGTTTTTTTTAATTTTTGAGACAGTGTCTTACCATGGAGTTCAGGCTAGCGTTGAACTCATGTACCTCAGGCTGGCTTTGAACTCATTGTGATCCTCTTGGCTTAACCTCCAAAGTGCTGAGATTACAAGTGTTATTGCCATGCCCAACTTGGCAAAAACTGATACTTTCAACCTTAATTTTAATGTTTCATTTATTTTTTTAAATGTAAAAAGCTACTGTCAATCAGATGAAATTCATCACAAGAATAGAGCAAGTTAGAAAGTATGTGGGGAAGATAAAAATTTGGAGCATGGCTAAGTAAGACTTAACTGATCATTTTTTATGCAATTAACAGAAAGTGTTCATCTTAAGATGCTGGTGAAAAGGGTTGACTGCTTACCCAGAATATTTGACCTTGTAAATTGACTTATTCTTCTCTAAGGCACTTGAGAGAAAAGACAACGATAGCAGTTACATCTAGAGGCTATTATGGATTGGAGGATGAGAAGGGGACTGCATGTACTTCAACGAGGCGTCGGTCAACACCTCGAAGTTTGGCAGGCTTGACAAGCGGAGTTTTTGAGTCTGTAATGGTTCAAGTTTTGAGACAGGAAGAACAGCTGAGAGCAAAAGAAGAAAAAAGGTAATTGTTAAAAAAAAATAAGTTTCATGATGTTCAGATTTCTAGGAATTACTTTCTAAAGAGTATTTGTGTAACTTTTATGAACCCATATCAAATTTCAGAGCCCATTTTAGTATTCCAAAATGCATTGTCACTTAAGTGTGAATTCATAATGAAATATCACAGTGAAATTTGTTTAAAAATATGTTTTAAATTTTCAAACTAATTATCTTGATGTATTATACTACAGTAATTCTTATAAAAGATTTCAATATTTCTTCTAGATTTTTAGAAATAGTATCAAGGAAATTTTAAATCAGAAATTTTTTTGTAGACTTAGTTTTAAATAAATCACCGATTTTGAAAATAGAAATTCCAGAGATTATGTAGTTAGTAAACGACATATAAATTCATCTCTGCCGTTTCCTCCATTGGTGTGTGTTTCTGCGCAGTAGTACTTATTTTGGACTCACTGGGAAAATGTTTAAGTTCAGTTAGTTGTACCTTGCAGGGTCTGGGAGCATAAAATGATGAGGCCAAAATAGCATTTTATCTACCACAAAAGGAAATTAGAGTCCAGAGAATAAGTAAAACTCAAATTTCTATACCTGACTTACGAATTTTTATACCAAATTAAATCTCACGCTACGTTAGGAGTGATTGCTGATGTAATCAGGACTTGCTAATGCTAAAAGAATTTATAGTATGTTACTCTTCTTACAGTAAAAATTAATTTGCTTTGATATTTGTAGGATTAAAATTCAGACTATCATCCTTTTTATAGCAGTGATTAATATAAAAATCTATTTTGAAATACTTTTCTTTCCTTGAATAGAGCCCCTGCTATAGGAAAGGAGAAGGTTAAAATAAAAAGCAATACAAATTAACTTGACATTTATATAATAGATGAAATGGGGAGCATTAAAACACAAAAGGGAAAGTTCATAGGAAGAAACTGTAGTAGACTAGAACTCCAATACTGGTCACCAGAAAATAGGGAGAAATGAGATTGTTCTTTGAAGAATTAACAAGACTTGGTACCTTCTTTGACATAAGGAGAACAAAGGAAGAAACAAACTGATAGTATTAGTAATAGAAGATAAAGAATAGTTAACATTTGCTGAGCTTATTTGCCAGATTTAGCTTTAAACATCTTATATGTATTCAGTGTTTTCCCAAGGCACAGAGATGAACTAATTTACCCAAGGTCTGGTATTTTTGAGTGACACAGTTGGGAATTGTGGCTATACATCTTGTGCTTCTGAGTAGTACACAGTCCTTGTGATATGTAAAACAGAACAGTAAAGAAAATAAAACTGTAAGATGTGATTCCAGGTGGCAGAAAGAGCAGTTTAAATAAGAGGTTTACAATAGTGGTGGAAAATTTAAGATCCAAGTAGGAATGGGTACTGTGAAGTTAGAAATATGACTAATTTTTTTCTCTAACCCTTAATGTATATATTTGTGCACCTTGACTTCAAATAAACATAAAAGAATAAACCAAGGGAGAAAAATTCTCTACTAAATGTGTCTTGGCAACAGTAATAATTTAATAGAGTAATATACTCAAGGTATCTTCTGAGGCATCATGTTAACTTTTGGGGGGGCTGGTACCAGGTATTGAACCGATGGTGTTTGCACTGAGCTGTATCCCTGGCTCTTTTGTTTAATTATAAAATTTTTAAACGTGAAGCAAAGAATAAATAAGATTCTGGGTGGAGGGAGCTGGGAGTGAATGGAGAGGAAGTACAAAGGATCAAGATGTGATATGTATCCTAATTCTTTTTGATGAATGTGTTTATTATGTTTCTCAAATATTATTAATAAAAGAAAAGGGGAGAAAAAATAAGATAATAAGCCCTCATTCCCATAACCCAGCTTTTTTTTTTTTTTTTTTTTTTTTTTTTTTTTTTTTTTTGTCTTTTTGAGACAAGGTTTCAAGATGTAGTTCAGGCTGGCCTTGAACTCACTTTGTAACCCAGGTTGGCCTCTTACTTGGAGCGATCTTCCTGCAGCCTCCTAAGTGTGGCAACCCAGAAATTTTTAAAGAAATTAAAGTTCCAACAATATACAATATTATAACCATTGTCAAATTCCTATCATCTTGATTTGTAAACCTAAATCAGTCAAAACAAGATGGTGAAAGCAATACAGAGTTTCAAATCAAGTTAATAGGAAATCAAAGTGGGTTACTATAATATATCCTGCTATTTTTATTTATTTTTCCCTTAATTAAAAGGATAAAAATGAAAAAGTAGATAATAAAAAGGAGATTGAGATAAAAAAGAGGGCATAACAACAAAACAGCGCAGGTCAAAACATAGCCATTTAAGCAAAATAGTTTCACCACAAGATAATCTCGACATAATAGTAGTTACCATAGTGTCTCTTCCCTTAAAATCTTTGGGTATAACTTCGTATATTGTAGCATCAAGCATATCAAGACACTATAAAACCATTCAAGAGAATGACAGTATTACAGGGTATTTAGAATCAACTAACAGAAAATGAACAGTGGTTTCTGTATAATCTCCTTGTCTATAAAAGTTTTTGTTTATATTGTCACATATAATAAAATCCAATAAGATACAACATGTTAAAACCGATGGAAACAGAAGAACAAAAGCTTGATGGGACTTCAAAACAAGAGGATATTAAATCAGCACTACCTATTATGATGTCTTGTTTTCTCCAAGATGGCTGTTCCTACCATCCAACCTTCTCTGCCTCATTTCTGTTGAGCAATTTTTCTGTCTTCATTTCGCTTTCTGCTCCATTCGTTGTGGCTGCTCTGCCACTGTTTCTGGAAACTTGGTATTTTTCATTTTTAGAATATCCTGCAGTAATTTCTGTAGAGTTGAATTGGTGGTTACAAATTCCCCTAGTTCCTCTTTATCCTGGAAGCACCTTGTTTCTCCATCAATTTCTAGGAACAGTTGTACAGGATATATCAATCTTGGCTAGAGGTTATTATCTTTCAAAGCTTGAATTATTTCCCCCCACGCTCTTTGTGATTTGATGGTTTGTGCCGAGAAGTCTGCTGTAATTCTGATGGGCGTTCCCTTGTAAGTGATCTGTTTCTTGTCTTTGACGGCTTTTAATATTTTGTCCTTATATTGGATTTCTGGAATTTTGATTATTATATGCCTGGGTGTAGCTCTGTTTGGGTTGTAGGTGGCTGGGGGCCTGTATGCCTCATACATCTGAGTATCTTTACCTTTTGCTAATTTAGGGAAATTCTCCTGGATTATTTCTGTGAATAGCTTTTGTAGTTCATTTGTTTGTGTCCCTACTTCTTCTTTTATGTTCTTAATTCTTAATTTATAGATCCTCTTATCATCTTCTAGTCTTGGTATTATTGCTGTTTGTTTTCTTGTTATTTTTAAGAAGTTTTTCATTTCATGCTCCCACCTTACAAATCTGTCCTCCAGTTCTGATAATCTATCCTTAGTTTCTTTCAAGCTGTTATGCCAGCTTTCAATAGAGTTTTTAGTTTCCTGGTAATCTCTTTGAACCTGCTTCATGTATTCTATGTTTTCTCTATTTTCTTCATCAAACAATTCTCCCCTTTTTTTCTGTTCTTGCAGTCCACCATCTGTTTTTTCTTGGGTGGTGCTTAGCATTTCTCTAACTGTTCTACTTATTTCTTGCTTTATTTCATTAAATACTTCATTTTTGAACTCGTCTATGAGGCTCCGGAGATACCGCTTTATGTCTATAGGTGCCATGTTGGATATTGCATGTTTTCTGTCTTCATTCTCTTTTGCATTTACCTTTCCTGCATCAGTGTTCTCAGGATGAGGGACTGAGGACCCTCTCTTGTTGCTCCCTTTTCCCATACATTTTGTTCCTTCCATACAAGCGTATGTAGGAGGCCCAGTTTTTTGTTTTTTTTGTTTTCTTTTGTCTTTGTCAGTCACAGTTTGTTTGAATTGCGCTGGCTAGGTGTTCCTGCCCACTGCAGTTTAACTAGGGAGAAACAGACCTGGGCAGCCTCTGCTGGGCCCGCCCCTCCAGGTCAACTTACTGAATGCTTCACTGCTAGGGTGCACCGCCAGGCTCAGGGACCTGATTTGGGCCAGCCCACTGGATCCCAGTCCACGGCGTCACCAGGCCAAGCGCTCCCCACCACTCCTGCTTGAGAGGGGAATATGCGACTAAAGTCACTACAGGGCCCTGTTCCGACTAGTCTGCTCGTTCCCACAATGTCCTCTGTTGGAGCCTCCTAGTCTATGAAAGGGTCCCCATTTCTCTCACTCACCACAGGTCGATGCAGGGCTCCCTGCCAGTACTGCTCTCAACGCCGTATGGTTCGCTGATTCCAGCTATCAGAGCTTTCGCACATCTTTCCCCCCCGCCTTGCGGATTGGGACCCAGTATCGGCAGCAGGAAATTCAAACCGTGGCTTCCAATGGTGCATGATCCAGCCTCCTCACTGAGACTCTATCTGTTCCTGTTACAGCATCAGGATTGCATTTCCAGTTGGTTTCTCTCAGTTTAGTTCGTTCCTGGGTCAGCAGGGTAGATCTTCCCTCACGTAGGACTCCTCACACGGCAACTCTCCTGGATTCTAAACTGGTAATGTCAGAGAGCCACTGTGGCTGCTGCTACCCATCCGCAATGTTCTACCGGAAGTCCCCATAGGCTGCCTTTTTATTTTCAGTTCAAGACCTAGAAATTTTTATTTTATTTTTATTTATTTATTTATTTTAGTACTGAGAATTGATACCAGAGCTTTGACCATTTAGGCAAATGCTCTATCACTGAACTGCATCCCTTTTGAGAAAAACTTAGCAATATTTGAAGTTCAGCTTAGCAATATTTAAAATATTTTGTGCTCTTTGTAACCTGTATAAGAAATAAGAAATTTAAGGTTATGAAATTTTTATTTCCCCTAAATTTTCTAATGTTCAGAGTTTTGTTTTGTTTTGTTTAAGCTTGAGTTTTCTAGTTATCCTTTTGAAGTTAATTTTGTGTGTGATGTGAAGCAGGGATAAAGATCAAGCCTGAGAGAATTTTGA